TAATTATAAATAAAACAGCAATAACTTACATGGAATTCTACTTACAAAACTTAGCATTGGAGCTAGCTATTTCCATCCAGGTCTTCAACCATGATGCTAAGAAAAAAAGCAAATTTCTTCTTCTTGTGAAATGGAAAAAGATAACTGCTAGCCTTTATGTTTGCTAACGGCACAGTAACCAGCTTTTGCCGTGAAACATGAGAAGACCTCTCACTGGTGCACCTCAGAGCTACTAAACAGTTTCTGATCAGCAGAGGGCTGTTAAATGTGAAGTTGCGTAAGTTTATGGCTCAAGAACCACTGAAACCAGTTTAAAAGCAGTAGTTTAAAGTGTTAAAAATTATTTTGTGTTGCTTTAGGTATTTCAAATTTTAGTGTATAATTAAAACAATATAATAACAGCAATTCAGCTAAAGTTACTTTAGGCTTAAATGCTTTTCAATTGCTTTCCATATAAACAATTTTGCTACATTTCTGACATTTTAGTTATCGTCCCAGAAACATTGAAAAGACATGAAGGTATTTGCCTCGGCGGTTCGGGGGGGTGGGGATTGGGGGGGTCCAAGCCTGCTGTCAGGGGGGCATTGGCCCTCCCTTGCCCCCCCCCCCCCCCCCCCCAACTGCCCCTGGTGGAATGCAAAGTTGACGTTGGTATAAAAGCTTTAACAGTGTGCAGATTTTTAGCTCAGGGTTGTTTTGAGAAGGCAGACTAGCTGTTAGCTTGTCTGTCCGGTCATGTCTCATCTCTGGTTGTCAGGCAAAATATTGCTCAAGGTTTGGATCAAAACTTCCCAATAAACCTGAATTGTTGCTTTATAAATGTCGTTGATGCACCTGTGATCTGCGTTACTGTCATGGTGAGTGTTGGTTTTGGACCCACATGCAGGTGAGTGAAGCTCTGAGGCAGCAAAATACTTAAATCCATTTACTGCAGGGACTTGGGAGTGCAGAAACTGCAGGAACAGAAGCACGTTGACATGGGGAGACAGACAAGGACAACAGTCAATCCAAGGGTCTGACAGGGCTTAAATACACAGGAGCAGGCGATCAGGTTAACAAGAGGCAGGTGCAACCAGTAAACACAACAAGGGGAGACGAGAGGCAACCGAGGCTGGGAAGCAGTTACGGCTCCATAACGTGTAGCATGTATGAAGCAAAGCAAAAACTCATGGATTTATGTTTATTCTTGCTTTGATTAACATTTAGGTAAAGGCTAAGTGTTTATTTTTTATTATTCTGAATCTTAAGTTTTAACTGTTCCTCAACCCAGCATGATTTTAGTTATGTAAATTATCTTTTTATTTTAAATCAAGATCAACAGTGAACTTGACTGCATGTGGTTCCAGTTTTTTTTTAATGAGCACCTCAGACACGCTGGGGGAAATCACTGCCTTGATCCTAGCCTCTCGTCTTCAGGTTAAACCGTTTTCTTTCATATTAGTTTATATGTATTTTTTTAATGGTTTGATAATAATTTTAATAGTTGCATATGAGATGTGTTGACTTGTGTTTGGACAAATGATAGACAACCCCTAATGTGCTTTTTTATATGTGTCTTTTAACATAAATGTGTGTTTTATGTGAACGTTGAGCTGTTAAACATCTTAAGACTGTGTAGATAAATATTGTTTCCCTAAAGATTATCGTCCATTATGTCAGACAGACAAAAGGCAAAATGTCCACAATCCACAAGATGACATCAGTGTGGTGAGATCCAGCTTTTATCTGCTAATCCAGCCACCCAGAGGAGGCTCACACAGGTTTATCTTCATGCTTTTATTCCACGATTGAGGCTGGAAAAATTGGTCTTATGTTTAAAATTAAATAAGTAATTAATATTTCCAGCATAACCTTTAATATAGAGAATATTACAGAGTAAAGCAGTAATCTAACTACATGTGTAACATGATTTGTTTTATTCAGGTTGGGTTAAAATTAACTCACAATCAACAGTGCAAGTCAGCTGTAGAGTCACGTTGCTGTTTTCCAATCTGGGGTGAGATGTCCAAATATCAGGAAATCAGACTCGAAAACCTACCGTCTGATGCCACGATGTGATGTGGGTCCCTTTTAGGTCCGAGAAATGGTGCACCAACATATTTTTCCCACGAAAGACTTGTAAGGCATTCATTCCTACTAGAGATCACAGCAAATGTATTGATTAAATGAGTCAAGCAATCTTTTAAACACAAACACAGTCGCAGGACTCTCATCCTTCCCACCGGTTAGCATCCCCAGGCCACGTGTGTTGGATACCAAAACCCACATTGAGAAAACGAGAAAGTGTTAAAAACCGGTCACCATTTTCTAGTGTAAAGAATGGGTTGTTTACATCTTACTTTATGAACCATAAAATGTGAGATTCCATAGAAATATGAAATATCATTCTGATGGATCTTTGACTATTTTAACCAGAATATCAGAACTTTTTAGTGCAGGGATTAAGCGACACTTCGTATTAACTCCAAGGAAAGAGAGAGAGTCAGGTTTAAAATAGTTAAGAAATTTATTTCTACACAACTTAAACTTGTCCGGGGATTGGACCGCCAAGGCTCCCGCCTTGGTCTGCCACCCGATTCGCATTGCACCGGACCCTTCATGTTCCTCCTGCGGGTGGTGGGTCCACAGTTGGACGAGCCCATGTATCCGGTTCGGGCTGGGCCCGGCCGGGCCCCATGGGCGAAAGCCCGGCCACCAGGCGCTCGCTCACGGGCCCCAACCCCAGGCCTGGCTCCAGGGTGGGACCCCGGTAACCCTCCGGGCCGGGTACTCCGACTCTTCGTTTTAACCGCCATGAAAGATCCTTCGAACCGTTCTTTGTCTCACCCTTCACCTAAGACCAATTTGTCATGGGAGACCCTACCAGGGGCACCAAGTGCCCCAGACAACATAGCTCCTAGGATCATTAGGGCACTCAAACTCCTCCACCACGATAAGGTGACGGTTCAAGGAGGAAGGCCGGCAGAAGGCCCCCGGGTCGACCTAGGACACGTTGGAGAGGTTACATCTCCAATCTGGTCCGGGAACGCCTTGGGGTCCTGCCGGAGGAGCTGGTGGACAAGGCCGGGGAGAGGACGGCCTGGAGCTCCCTAGTTGGGATGCTGCCCCCGCGACCCGGACCCGGATAAGCGGAGGAAGACGAGACGAGACGAGACAACTTAAACAAGACTAACTTTAACACTGTGTGTACTGATGGAACTAAGGTGGAGTGAGACGTGATGAATGATGATGTGTGTGTGTGGAATGTTATTCAGAACCAGCGGATCCAGAGAAGCCGTTAGTTCTGAGTGGAAGTGAATGTTTCACTCTAAACTTTGGTAGGAGATTTATAGCACACATGAGACGCCATCTGTCGGTCTACGTACCCAAGGGGAAGCCTCCGATTAGATCCAGAAGGTCGAGGTCTTCGTGGACCCTCTTTGGTACCGAAGCCGGTAGAAAAGCAGCGGTGCCCACCAAACTAGCCTTGGAATGCTTCCAGGTCACGACAGGTTATCACTGGTGTCTCCGAGACCCTGAAGGGGTTGTGAGGTTCAGCTTTTATTCTGAAGGAACCGTTGCGATCAGGTGTAACTTGCAACAGATTTTATCCAGCTTGTCGAGGTTCTTATGGCTGAAGAGGAAGTCCGGATGGCCTGTCCGAGACTTCTCTACAATGCTTTGAACTAAAGAAAAGGTGGAGTTGGATAGTTTTTATAATTGTCATATTTTGGTTTACTGGCGAATCAGAATCTGACATGCAAAAGAGGGTTTATACAAACACCACAGAAAACCACGCCTCGCACCAGAAACGAAGGTTCTGATTGGATCAGACAAAAGGAAATGTGTTGTGTGGCTTTAGCATTGCGTGTCATTAGTGTCTAGTGCAAATATCCAAGATTATAATAACTTGTAAAATACTACTGATCACAGGATTATAATCTCAAGTAATAACATTGTCATTTCACAGATTGATTGAACATTGGGCTCACATTATTATTGGTAATTAACAAAGTTGTTGATTATGTGTTTATCAAGAGAGTTCTTCGTCTTCGTCTTGAGCTGTAACAGAGGAGAAGCAGTTCCGATGGGCAGAGTGCATGAAAGACCTTGGCCACTATCTCATGTAGATTAGGCTGTCAGAGACTTTATGTCTTTGCTCGAGCAGACGCAGCAGATCATGACCTTTAGGTCAAAAACAGACATTCATGATGCTACACTAGGTCCAACTGTCTCTTGTTGGAACTATTGCAATTCACTTCTTTATGGTCTCCCCAACAAACTCCTTCATAAACTGCAACTGGTCCAGAATTCAGCAGCCCGTATTATCACCAGAACCCCTTCCTTTCACCACATCACCCCGGTTCTCCAACAGCTTCACTGGCTCCCAGTTAAATTCAGGTCCATCTTCAAAATTCTCCTCCTTACCTTCAAAGCAATCCACAACCTCTCTCCTCCATATGTCTCAGACCTTATAAGTATTCACACCCCATCCCGTTCTCTAAGATCTTCGTCTTCCATCCATCTTGCTGTTCCTTCTGCCCGTCTCACTACCATGGGGAGCAGAGCTTTCAGCCGCTCTGCTCCCCGTCTCTGGAACTCACTCCCCCCAGACATCAAGAACATCGACAGTTTTACCCTTTTCAAAACAAAACTCAAAACACATATGTTTAAATCTGCCTACAACCTCTGATTTTATTGAACTGTTTCTCTCTGTTTTTTTTCTTGTTTGGGTTTTTATTATTGCTTTATTGTATTTTTTTACGTGTTTTCTGTCAAGTGACCATGGATGTTCTGAAAGGCGCTTTTAAATAAAATGTATTATTATTATTATTGTTGTTCAAGACTTCAAATGGTGTTTTGGGACTCTAAAGTTGAAGTGGTAGCAGCCAGCTGTTTCTCCTTACCTGATATTATTTCGTGGAGAACCTCTCATACCAGTGGTGTTCTGTTGCAGGTTGGTTTAAAGGTTTCCTGCTGAGTTTTTCCCACAGTGTCTAATGAAATGTTTTATCTTTCAGTGGGATGAAGTCAGTGTCCTGGATGACCGAGGGAAGCTCATACGGACCTTTGAGGTCTGTAATATCAACCAGAATCCTCGGCTGCAGGACAACTGGTTGGCGACGCCCTTCCTGTATCGTCAGTCAGCTCCCCGAATGTTTGTGACGTTGCGTTTCTCTGTGCGGGACTGCGCCAGCCTGCGTTCTCCATCGCCCACCTGTAGAGAAACGCTCACCTTGTACTACAAACAGGCCGACTCCCAGAGGGAGCTGATGAGGACCTGGGCGGCTGAGGTGAGGCTGAATTCTTACTCTGTTAAGAAAAAAAGTTTGAATGACTAGTGCTGGGGTCTGCAATCTGTGGCTCCAGGGCCACAAGTGACTCTTTGGACTTCACACAATTTCTTTTAAAATTAGTAATAATTTAAAATCTATTTATGTTAGTTTTTTATATATATTTTTTGTGAATATCAATATTTCCTGTAAAAATAATCATATAAATGTTGTCACATTTTTATTTTATTCTTTTTTAAATAAAATCTCATTAAAAAAAGTTATAATATTGGCTTTTATCTCAGATTTCTGGGAATAACGTGGCTCTAATCCCATTCCTAATAACTGGCCTTGACCTTCTTCCATCGGTAACTCTCATAAATTATCTTTTTTATAAAAAATCCTGGGCTATGGAAGCCCATTCCTGCCACTCTGAAAAAAAAATCTTATATCTTATAATTATGAAATACAAGATTTTTATTTTATCAGCGATGGGAATGGGCTTCGACAGGTCAAGTCTCCATCATGTGTACCACATAGTATCTGAGGAAACGTTTCTTTGATGTTTTCAACATTTTTTTGTCATTATTAGAGATATTTTATCCGACATTAGTTTAAAAAATGTTTAAAAGTATAAATTGCAATGATCCAATTCCAGTTTCTAATAATGAAACATGAATATTTTAAATGAACTGTTAACTTAAATGTCTCTCTGAGCTGGTAATTGTTAACTTATGTCTTAAAATAACTTAAGCATTCAACACTGAAGTTGGTTTTATAGGGAGAAAAAAAGTGTGCAAAGTAGTGATTAAAGATTTTAAAATTGTTCCCGTTGGTTCTTTAGTTTTTTTGCTGCAGAAAAGCAAAATAGTAAAATAATTCTAACTGAACAAGAACAGTTTTGCCTGAACATTTTTAGCTATGCCTGTTATTTATTCTAGCGTTGTTCTCTTTGTGACATGAGGGATTGTTGTTTGTTTGGTTCAAAATAACTTTCCACCAATCAGCTATCTTTGGCATCGCTTTACAAAGCGACATGCTTCCAGGTTTTGGGGCGATTGCACGCAACGTTGTTTGGCCAAACCGCCTCATGAATAAATGAATAAATAAGTCCCTCCTATTAGATTTTTAAGCTACCAGCCACATTGGGAGATGCAACGAGGTTTGAAAGGAGATGTTGTTAGTTTCATAAAAATAAAAAAAACTGTTCATTTCTACAAAGTTTCAAAACATAAACTGCTAAAAAATACTATTGAGGTAAAGTAACCTTATGCATGTTAGAATAGTTTCAAATGGGTTTGAAGGAAAGGGTTTAAAATATTTAGGTTGGTACTTAAAAAAATAAGTACTGCTGTCAAGGTGCAACTGTTGCAGGATATTTGTTTTGTCATACAGTAAGATCAGTTTTTGTTATTTGTTTATTACGTTGGCGTATGTTTCCCCCAGTGGGCCACGGCGGATGTCTGCTCATTCTGAGAATGGTTCTGTTGGAGCACGGGTGAGCAATCCTGGTCCTCGAGGGCTTCTATTCAGCATGTTTGAGTTGTTTCCCTGCTTTAACACGTCGAATTTTAATCAAGAGGTTATTGAAAGGCTTTTACGTAGCTTGGTGACTTGCTGAACAGGTGATACAACTGTTGAATTAGGTGTGTTGAACAGGGAAACAACTAAAACATGCAGGGTAGCGCCCCTTGAGGATCGGAGTTGCCCACTCGTGTTGGAGGTTTATTCCTGTTAAAGGGAACAAGTCAGTGACTTGGTGCAATCTGCTGGGTTTCCGTACATAGAAAGCATTTGACTAACTGGGATAATGAATTGAACTCAATTGAAATGGCTACTTTGTGAAGTGCTTTGAGACGACTTTTGTTGCGATTTGCTGCTATATAAAAAAACTGAACTGAACTGAAGGGGCCCGTATGGTTCACATAAAAAAGCTGTGATACAACAACAAAAACCTGCAATGCAAATTAAAAAGCCACAACACAATCAAGTAAGGTGCATTACAGCAGACTGGCGATCAGTGTGTCACAAAGCAAACGGAACTGTGCTGACGCTCATTTGTCCATTCAGGAGGGGAGTGTTAGTCAGTGTTGTGTAATGCTTTTCACTCTCTCGCTACTGTTGTGGTTCTGAATTCAAAATTTGCTAGCCCTCTGGGGGCCCCTCGTGGCCTAGAGGCCCAAAGGAGTTGCCTGCCTTGCCAGTCGGCATGCAGCTCCTGTGTATGTGATCTTACCAAAACACAGAGTTTGAGCTGCCATGATGGCGTGTCGAGCACCAGCTTTTAATAAATATGCTCATTTTGTCGTTCTTTCAGTTACTTATTTTTTCTAATAGCATAATGACCAAAGTGATTTATGTTTTGCAATTGACCAGCATGTATTGGGCTCCCCTGAATTAACTTCAACACTCAATACAATGTTCTTAACAACTTTGTGTTGGTTTCCAGATACCCTATAAAATTGTATTTGCTCTAATTGTTGCACAAAGAGCTATGGTGACTAAAAATAAAGATGCACTGCTCCCAACACAGGGAAAAAATAATTTTGTCAGAATAACTACTTTGATCCAACACCTGCGGAGCACAACGTCCATTTTGTTGGTAGTTAAATTTGTATTATTAATTCCAATGTGGGAAACGATTTTGCATTGCAGCTTATTTCGTATTGCAATTTGTTTTGATGCAATGTGCCTTTTGTTGTTGCAATGTAGCTTTTGCACTTCAATGAGCCATATGGGCCACTACAGTCTTGAAAGTCACCAAAGTCTTAAAAGTAGACTAGGTGTATGCCTCACATACACTTTGTCTACTGAGCTGGTTCCACAGGAGAGGAGCCTGATGACTAAAAGACATGCCTCCCATCCACAATCAGATCACTGATGTATGACGGAGCTTGATTATTAAGAGCTTTATGTGTGAGAAGGAGGATCTTAAAAAATAATTCTGAATTTAACAGGCAGCTAAAGCTAAAACAGGAGGGATGTAAACTCTCTTTAATTGTCATCCGACATCTCATCTGGCATTGCACCTGTGATCTCATTTTGCTGTTAAATTTGTTTGGTTTATTATTTTTCCAGTTTTTTGAGCTTCTTGTGCTAAGCAACTCGCCTGCTTCTCCTCCATTAATCACCTTCACTTGTGCTTTGCCAGATCCAGTTTTTTTCTCTGGTCTAAATGGTATTTTGTCTCTTCTCTGCTTTGTGTGCCTTTCATGTTTTTATTTGCTACCTGGATTCCAGCCATTGTCTATTAGAAAACTCTATTAGTTTGTTCCAGATATCTGCCCTCTACATTTTATGTTTATGTTCATCATTTAGGAAGCAAAGTCTGCACAAACCAGTGGGATGAATACCAGTTAGACAAACAGTGTGAAAATAAGCCTCAATTTGTGAGTTACAGCTGTGAAAAAATATAAAATGAAATAGTTAAATTTGAAAGAGGCTGATCCTGTGGTCTCTGAGCATTTTGAACCAGAGCGACAACAACAGAAGAATGACAGAAGATGTTTGTGATGCGGCTCGCCGCCTCGTCCTGACTGTTGTGATGGTATGACCAGGCGATGCTTTTATCAGTCGGCCACCACCACACACTGACTTGACCTTTGTGTGGTGCATTTTGCAGAGGGGCAGCACTCACGCAGCTTCAACGTCTGCACAGATAAAACTCCTGAATATCAGCCCCAGGAAGAATCACCGCGGCTGTGCTTAAGCAGGCGTGACACGAAGGAAAAGCTGCAAGCTGGCAGCCTTTAGAGCAGCACCCCGACACCTGCTGCTTCTGAAATTTTAAACATTTATCATTCATACCAGGAAGGTCTGTCTGAGTTGCCCAGAACAGGTGCTTACTGGTGATTAAATTCTGTCCTGGGTTTGCTAAGTTCGGGTTCAGCACCGTACATGTCACGTGTCGTATTTAAAACTCAGACATTTGGGCTATTTTTAAATTAGTTTCAGGTGTAAAAATTACTTCTTCATTAAATAATAGGGACTTTAAAAAAAAAAGCAGAGGAGACACTTAAAAGAAAACTGATTAAAACAAGTAAATTTCTAAAACAATCTATTCGAACTCTCCAGACTGATATACCATACCATACCAAGTTTATTTGTGTAGCACATTTAAACACGACATGAGAGCCGACCAAAGTGCTGAACAAGAACACATAATAAAAGCTATCAATAATAAAAACTAAATCCATTAAAATCAAGTAATTCAAATGGAAAAGAAAAGAAAAAAAGAGAAGAAGTTACACTGAATTAAAAGCGGGAGAATAAAAGTGAGTTTTTAAACGAGACTTAAAAAGGGAAAGAGAGGAAGAGAGTCTGATCGGGAGGGGCAAGTGGTTCCAGAGCATCGGTGCACAAATTGAAAAAGCGCGCTCCCCGCGGGACTTACAGCGGGAGCTAGGGACATGGAGAAGGTGCTGGTCGGCGGCTCGAAGGGATCGCGTAGGGACATAAGGGTGAGTGAGCTCAGCCAATAGCCAGGCACTAAGTTATTGAGGGATTTAATAATAATAATAATAATGCATTGAACTTATATAGCGCTTTTCAAGAGACCCAAAGACACTTTCACACACTCTCACATTCACACACTGCTAGTGATGGTAAGCTACTTGTAGCCACAGCCGCCCTGGGGAGGTCTGACAGAGGCGAGGCTGCCATTTGGCGCCGTCTGCCCCTCTGACCACCACTAACACAGGCAAGTTGGGTGAAGTGTCTTGCCCAGGGACACAACAGCAGGATACCCCTGGCGGGAGCTGGACTCAAATCCATGACTCTCCGATCATGAGGCAACCCGCTCTACCACCTGAGGTACTGCTGCCCCACAAAAACCATGATCTTAAACTCTATTCAGAGATAGATGGGAAGCCAATGAAGATTTGCCAAAACCGGTGTGATGAATTCTTGTTGCCTGGTGCCGGTCAGGAATCGAGCTGCTGCGTTCTGCACTAGATGAAAGCGGGCGAGAGGGAGCAGGAGATACCATGTAGTACTGAATTACAGTAATCGAGACAGGAAGTAATGAAGGCATGGAAAACTGAATGGAGACGATGCCTATTTAAAATGGGCTTAACTTTAGAGAGACGCCTCAGGTGATAAAAACAGGTCTTAACTACCTGGTTGACGTGCATGTCCATTTTTAGGTTGGCATCCATCACGACCCCTAAGTTTGTGACACAGGTTTTCAACCCACTTGAAATAAAAGGAAGGGTAAGTTGGGGGCTTGAAGGGCTGAAAATTATAGCCTTTGTCTTGGCATCATTCAGCAGGAGAAAGTTTTCAGACAGCCAGCTCTTCACTTCATTGAGGCATTCAACAAAGGGGCTGTAAGGAGTCATTAGGCTTCACAGAGGCATATAATTGGCAATCGTCTGCATATAAATGATAGTCAACGTGATGTTTTTTAAAATCTCACCCAGGGGCAAAATATATAAATTAAATAAAAGGGTTCCAAGAATAGAGCCCTGAGGTACACCAAAAGTCAAAGCTTCAGAGGGGGAGGCAGCACTATCCATCATAACATTAAAGCTGCAATCACGGAAGTAGGACCTAAACCGTTCTAAGGCCGTCCCCTGGGTGCCAACCAGTTGGTTTAGCCAAATCAGTAGAATAGCGTGATCAACCGTGTCGATAGCAGCAGATAGGTTCAACAATTCCAGCAATTTAGTAGAACCAGAGTCAAGGGTTAATAAAATGTCATTAAAACAAGAAGATGAGCTGACTCAGTGCTATGGAGGGATCGGAAGCCTGACTGGAAGGAATCCATTAAACCATGATCATCAAGGTAAGAAATAATTTGGTTAAAAACAGCACGCTCTAGTAGTGTTGATAGAAATGGAAGCTTGGAGATCGGGCGAAAATTACTCATAACAGAGGTGTCAAGGCCAGGCTTCTTCAGAACGGGTTGAACTACTGCATGTTTAAAAGCATTGGGTACAACACCAGTGGATAAGCTGTTGTTAATAATGTTCAGCAAAAGGGGGCCAGTGACAAAAGATGTTTCTTTAAGGAGGTGTGGAGGGACAGGGTCAACAGGAGAACCTGACGGCTTCAAGGCAGACAGGAGGTTCTCAAGAGAGGACAAAGAAAGTAAGTTAAAGTTATCGAGACCGATGCAGGATAGGTTCAGGAAAACTAGTGACATAGGGAGAAGAAATCTGAGCCCGGATGCTAGCAATTTTTCCTAGAAAAAAGTTCAAAAATTGAGTGCATTGATCATCTGAGGCAGTAAGAGAGTGGTGGTCACTGACTGAAAGAACAGCACTGAGGGTCTGATACAAGACACACTGGTTACCAAAGGATGCAGTAATAATATTTGAAATTAATTTATTAAGGGCATCTCTAACTACTTTCTGGTAAGGAGCCCAGGTATCTATCATTATTTGGTAGGAAATCTGGAGCTTATCCTTTTTCCATCTACGCTCGGATCTTCTGCACTCACGCCTGACAGATCTGGTAGTTGTATTGATCCAGGGATCTGACCGAACTTTAAAGTGTCTAGTTCTCATAGGGGCTATCTGATCTAGCACAGTAAGGCAGGAAGATTGTGTAAAGGATGGGTAGTTTACATCTTACTTATGAGCCATAAAATGTGAGATTCCATAGAAATATGAAATATCAATCTGATGGATTTTTGACTATTTTAACCAGAACATCAGAACTTTTTATTGCAGGGATTAAGCGACACTTCGTGTTAACTCCGAGGAAAGAAAGAGAGTCAGGTTTAAAATAGTTAAGAAATTTATTTCTACTCAATTTAAACAAGACTAACTTTAAACACTCTGTGTACTGATGGACTAAGGTGGAGTGAGACGTGAGATGATGGTGTGTGTGGGATGTTATTATCAGAACCAGCGGATCCGGAGAAGCATTTAATTCTGAGTGGGAGTGAATGATTTGCTCTAAACTTTGGTAGGAGATTTATAACACACATGAAACGCCATCTGTCGGTCATACCCCAGGGGAAGCCTCCGATTAGATCCAGAATGTCAAGGTCCTCTCGGACCCTCCTTGGAGCGGAAGTTGGTAGAAAAGCAGCGGTGCCGACCAAACTAGTCTTGGAATACTTCCAGGTCACGACAGGATATCATTGGCGTCAGCGAGACCCTGAAGGGGTCGTGAGGTTCAGCTTTTATTCTGAAGGAACTGTTGAGGTCAGGTGTAACTTGCAACAGATTTTATCCAGCTTGTCGAGGTTCTTATGGCTGAAGAGGAAGTCCAGATGGCCTGTCTGAGACATCTCTAGAACGCTTTGAACTAAAGAAAAGGTGGCGTGGGATAGTTCTTATAATTGTCATATTTTGGTTTACTGGCAAATCAGAATCTGACATGCAAAAGAGGGTTTATACAAACACCACAGAAAACCACGCCTCGCACCAGAAACAAAGGTTCTGATTGGATCAGACAAAAGGAAATGTGTCGTGTGACATTAGCATTACATGTCATTAGTGTCTAGTGCAAATGTCCAAGATTATAATAACTTGTAAAATACTACTGATCACAGGATTATAATATCAAGTAATAACATTGTCATTTCACAGACTGATGGAACATTGGGCTCACATTATTATTGGTAATTAACAAAGTTGTTTTATTATGTGTTTATCAAGAGAGTTCTTCGTCTTCGTCTTGAGCTGTAACAGAGGAGAAGCAGTTCCGATGAGCAGAGTGCATGAAAGACCTTGGCCACTATCTCATGTAGATTAGGCTGTCAGAGACTGTCTCTGCTTGAGCAGATGCAGCAGATCATGACCTTTAGGTCAAAAACAGGACATTCATAATGCTACAATTGAAAAAAGTGCAACAAATCATCAGTGCTGGAAAACACCGGCAAAGTGTAAACAAAATCAGTGAACAAAGTACAGAATTCTGTTGCAGTAGACGGAGTAAAAGATCGGGCTCTTCGAGCAGGCATTAAATTAATTAAAGAGGCATTGGATCTATGAAGGCGAAACAAAACCGGAAAATGATCTGAAATATGGACAGCATCAACAAACAGGTCAGTGATCTTCAAGCCTTGAGTGAGAACCAAGTCCAAAATGTGAGAGCGTTCATGTGTTGGCATATTAACCAACTGGGCCAGGCCAAAAGAGTCAATAACATTTAAAAATTCTCCCACATATCAATAATAGTTCCGATAGCAATTGTGTTCAATTTTCACATTTTAACAGTTCTAAAATGTTCCTTGAATCCCAGTTTAAAGCAGTAACTTCCCTCTGATTATCTGGCCACATCTAAATTAAGCATGTATTATTTTCTCCTGGTTTTAGCCCCTGCTTGAGGCAACCTACCTTCGGAGAAAACCATTAAAGTCATCATTAGTGATTCATTTCTCCTCACATCAAAACGGCAAAACCTCTCATTTTTTCGCCCAGTGAGGACTGATTGTCTAATCCTCCTCCCTGATTACCACAGAAGACGGTACCTTAAACCAGACTCAAAGGCTACACTTGCTCGAAAATGCAAATAACTGTCAGAAAAGTCTCTGTAAATGTCACTTCAGCCCCGCAATTAACAACTTTGAGGCATAAAATGACACCTGTTGCACAAAAAATTCTCAGGTTCCTGCAGAAATAATTTTTTTGTGCAGCTTTTATTTATCTAAGCATTTCAATGCTCTTCGGGGGCCTTTTGAACCGTTGAACAATCTGTGGCAGTCACCGTCACAGTCAGAGTTTTTGTATAGATGAATGCATCACTCCTCGGGGAAGTGAGATGCTTTTTAAAAAATTCAAATCAAGCCCTGATGAGGAACGAGAGGAGGGTCGTAAAAGAGCTGGGAGCTGTCTCGACAAAGACTTAAACTTGAACCCCTCACTTCAGGCGCAGCTCTACATCAGCATTCAAACGTTTCACCATCCACTCATCAAGAGGGTCAAGTGATGAACCAATGCAGCACGACTTTCCTCTCTCATGTTTTCACTCTTGTTGTTGCTTCTTCTAAGCTTTTTTTTTTGTGTTTTCTGTCTCTTTAGCCATCTAGCGGTGAGACGGAGACCCGGGAGGGATGGGTGAAGATCGATACCATTGCAGCTGATAAGAGTTTCTCCAAAGTGGAGCCCAGTTCGCCACACCAGTACCAACCCAACCGATACAGTCGTATCAATGTTAAGACGCGCAGCTTTGCCCCACTCACGCGTAGCGGGTACTTTTCCCTCTAACACATCCTGCTTCTCTTGTTCTTTGTTTCACTTCTCCCAGAGGCCTGATCTTCACTCCTGACCTCTGTTTCAGATTTGTTTTGGCCATCGTCGATAGCGGGGCTTGTGTTTCCCTCATGGGGGTGTCCATATTCTATCGGCGCTGTTCAGCCACAAGCCTCCACCTGGCGTCCTATGTAGCGACTCCTTCAGGTGCGGAGCCGACTGCTCTGGTGCCAGTGACGGGGACGTGCGTCCCCCATAGTAAATCCCAGGGGGGTGCGCCACCTCGCATGCACTGCAACGCTGAAGGAGAGTGGATGGTCCCCGTTGGAGGATGCATCTGCGACGAAGGATTTGAGCCAAATGTCAACGAATCTGCTTGCTTACGTGAGTTTGTGGAGTAGGGTTGACAATTCTCTAAATAACTGCAGCAAGAATAGATGTACGGAAAAAAACTACTTTACACACTCACACAAGACTTACCCCTCAGGAGAAAAGCAGACACAGATTCTGCAGCATTCTGGAGGATTTTCTGTTAACCACGATCATTAGATGAAAAGGGGAGGAGGGCATTTTTTTCAAGGAGGTGAGCGGCTCAGAGAGCCAACGTGTCATATCGGAAGGTGAGTGGCTGAGCCAGGTGGAGGTGCGGCTGCCTCACCTGGAAACCAGTGCGGTGCAGCCACGTAGTAATTTGCTGATAACGTCATGTTTTTCAGCTTAGCCGTCAACCACAACTGATTCTACATAAATGTGGAGCAGAGTTTTTAACCTGAAGATGGAGATATGATTATGGTTTTGGGCTGAAATATTAAATTAAACCTAAGTTGCACTTAACTGCCACACTAATGTGTACAGCACCATTAGACAGTCATCTATACAGGTTATCAGCACAAAAAAAGATAATTTAGGCGTTACTTGCTCTTTAAATGTGCATTGTGTGTAGAAGTGTGCTGTTGGACCCGAGGGGACAAAAGGCAAATTAAAGTATCATTCCCTTTAGAACTGCATTTAGCAACCCAAAATGATACCATCTAGTTTGTGCACCTGTTTTTTAATCATTACAAACATTTATATTTAGAAAATACACATATCAAGAACCTGAAAAGTCAGTCATTAAATGAAACCAAAGATCAGCAGATGTTCAGTGCTGAAAACATCGGAGATGTTGTAGAAAGTCGGGGTGATGACACGTTTTTAATGACACTGAAACACAGAGAAACGGAACAGAACTTTTCATAAATTAGTGCTGCTTTTATTTTAAAGAGGATAAGAGGGTGAGCAGGACTTTAAAAATATTTTAAAGCGACGCGTCTCCACCCCGGAGGCTGAGATGTTTGGGAATCAGAAATTTAAAGAAGGTACTCTGTTCCCACACGGTGTTTCTGAAAGCTGACCTTGATGCGTTGTGACATTACCATCTGACTGCTTTTATAAGAGGTGAGCTCATTTGAATTAAGATGCCCAAAGACGTGCTCCAGCAGTCAGTCAGCTGTTTGGACCGGTCTTATCTCCCTGAGATAGGAAGCATCTGGATCGATACTGAAGGGAGCTGCTGTCGCTCTGATGCACTTCTGAGATTGATGATGGGAACAGAAAGAATTGAGGGCAAATGGGTCGGAGTGGGATGAGGGGATGGACAGCGTTCCGTCAATAATGTCCGTAATCACAGGAGTTCTGCAACAAGGAAAATTGAAGTCAGACGTGCTTTTAAAGAGAGCTTAATGAATTAAAGGTGGATATGCGTGGAAGAGAGTACGCAGCTGTGTGGTGAACAACTGATCAAGGAGCACTTCACACTTCTTCAAGTGGGTGTTTGTAAGAGTTTTTTAAAAAATCAAGAGGCGTCCAGATGGACAGGGAGGGATATACAGAGAAAACAGGAAGAGGGAGGGAGGAAAAGAAGGAAAGAACCATAGAGAGAAGGACGTGACACATTTAGGTCATGGCGATGTAATGGCCACTCGTCTGTGAACAAGTGACAGAAACCGCAGGAGGGTGGGTGGGGGGGTGCAGGGAAGATAGGAAAAGACTGAAAGATAGAAGGATGCAAGTTAATGACCTAAAGAAGTGAGCGGGCAGCACTTAATAACAAAAAGAGCAGTTTTTTAATGTGTGAGTTAGCTTATGTGTGTGTCGTGTCCATGTACGAGTGAGAACTTGACATGAATCCTCACAGGAATCTGGACTGATTCCAGTCTAACAGACTGTAATCTTCAAATCTTCAAAAATTGGACCACCTTGTGTTTTTCTGCATTTGACTGATACCTAATGACAAAGTCAGCCCCCGATGAGAGTGCAGCAAAAACCTCCACCCAACGTCCGTGAGCACGTTGCTGCCCACACCGCTTCAGCTTTTCGTTTCTGCCCTCCGTTCACAACATTTTGGTGATCACGTCACTGACTCATGATGTGGAGTGGCATCACATCGTTGTCCTCAATGGCTCCCTGGGACATTTTTTTTTCTACAGGGGCAGATGGTTAACTGGCAAAGCAATCATTAAGAATAGTCAAATTCTGTTCTACACCCTAAAAAGGGAAGCAGGGAAATACTCAGGGATGTCTGATATTATAGGGAGCCTAAGTCTCCTCCCTCTCTGGTCGGCTCACGGGTCCCCGGAAGAAAAAAAAAGTCAATGCAAATCAACAGGGCTAAGAGAGCTATTTTCTAATCTGCTCTGCCTGTCACCCTGTTGTACTGCAATTTCAATGAAAACCAATATAGTGGAATACATTTGTTAATTATGACCAATAAGGTTTGATGATTCCATATCAGTGTTTCCCTTACATAGGCGTAGCCATGGCGGCCCGCCACGGCTGAAATCCCAGCTCCACGCCTACAAGATCCCAAGTTTTAATTTTTTTTTTTTTTTTTTTTTGCGCTGTTTCCCGAAGAAGCAGCGGGAACTACTCTGTTGTTGCTTGTGATCACAGCCGGCAGGCAGCAAGGAGGAGGAGGCAGGGCAGGGTGGTTACAGCATACGTTACTGAGTTCAAATTAGAAAGGTAGCAGTGGATATAAAGCTTTTTGGTTTACATGTTTCAATAGCATTAAGATAGATGACTGTTTACGATCTTGGCAGGGTTTCCCACCAGTGCTCATTAGCCTGGCGGCCTGCCAGGTTTTCCTCCCCCCCCCCCCCCCCCCCCCCCTGCCACCCCCCCCACCCACCCCCACCCCCCCGCCACGCCAAGCATCACTTATTTATGTAAAATTGATTGTTTTGCATGTCTGACCTTAACCGCATCTAATACTGTATTACGGCGTGAGCACAACAGCGACAACTTAAGATCGATGTGTGAGCAGCGTGAGAGGTCGGGTGTTTTCATCTGAACCCTTAAAACCTCCAGCAGGCTACGCTGCACTACTGACATGTTAGCACGCGGCGCTAACAACTTAGCGACGTGACGTGTCTCGCAGAAAGCATAAAAACATGTTGGACACTTCTTCTGAAGTGGAAAAATAAAACTTCTTCTTAAGCAGAGCACGAGTTTGCCTTGTTGACCCTCTGTCGAGCCGGTGTCGGTACAGGATCTGCTCGGGTGCAAGATCGGCTCGGGGTCCTTCGACTGCCGATGACGTCAAAGTAGTTGATTGGCTGAACATGAACCTTACAGAAGTTACATAATCACGTTACGTTGTTATCACGTTATGCTGGTCCAGGCAAAATTTTCTGTTGGAAAGATGGACAACTTTTACAAAGAAATACATCATTACCTCTTTGAAAATACACTTTTAGCATACAGCTGCATGTATATTAGGGCTGAATGATTAACTGCATGTGCAATTAAATTGCGATGTGACAAAAGGAGATTTTCTAATCGCAAAGGCTGCAATTTGGCAGCGAGTGGTTAGCACAATGCTAATATACATGGAAAAACCCATAGGAATGCTAATGCTAATATCACCGATTACATTCTTACAAATTATGAATTAGAAACGTGCCAAATGATTACATTTGGAGTCTAATAGAAAGTAAAAATACCATCACTCAAATAAGTACAGACAGGTATTTTAGTAAAGCCAGAAAACTTTTAACTCCAGAGTTTTGGCTAGCAGCTATGAGCATAACTGAACTACGCATGGACAAGACGTCAAAAACTCTAAACATAAAATACTTCAAAAAACGGGACACACTTCTTTTCTGCAAATACAATTTCACAGGTGTTGCTAATACCTATGATCCTTCAAGGGATGTGCTCAAAGAGGAGTTCAACATTATGAATACAACATAGTGTTTTATTTTACAAATACCATTATAAACACAAACTTGCATCATAAGAAAACATTATTTTATTAACGAAACTGCTAAATTCTTTCCAACAGTATAAAGATGTGTAGTGTATTTTGTCCGAGTGGGTGTGCCGTACTTTGACGTCTTCGGCAGTCGAAGGACCCCGAGCTGATCTTGCACCCGTTCAGATCTTGTAACGACACCGGACTGAGCTCGATAACATTGACCTGTGCTAGTTTGAATAGCCACTGGGTCGTTGGAGCTGTCCCGTGACTGCCTGATGGAAAACCAGCGGGTTTCATCATACTCGTAAAGTTTCTGGGACCCCCTGTATTTTACCGCTCCCTCCTGCAGTCTTCCCCTATTAAAATTTTAAATGATTCTGTAAATTTGTGTATCATCAATAGAAAAAATCTCTGCCTCTGTCACCTGCAGTAAATGTAGGGAAGACCGACTTGTCTTCCAATTTCCAAATAATAAATAAGAGGTGCATTCATCTGTGTATCTCCTTTGATCCGCATTAGTGATATTTTCAGCACCAGAACAATGAAGCAAAGAAACAGATTCTTGAGTTTATGTTAGTAATTTTATTTATTAGGTGCATCTGATCTGTTCTATTTTTCTCTGAAATGAGATCAAATCAGTGCTTCTATGGGTTGTCTCCTCTCTGCACTAGAAAAATTTACTTTATTATAATGTTCACTGCAATGCATCTTGATGTTCTAAACAAATAAATTAAGTCAAAGATATTGGTTAGTAATGCCAACTATGTAAACCGGTATTTGTGTTTCAGTCATTTTTATACTGGCTTAAAAATACTTCTACTAAGCAGGGGTATAGAACATTTTTAGTAGGGCCAGCCCAGTAATGATCTAGGACCAAGATTGTGTGTGTGTGTGTGTGTGTGTGTGTGTGTGTGTGTGTGTGTGTGTGTGTGTGTGTGTGTGTGTGTGTGTGTGTGTGTGTGTGTGTGTGTGTGTGTGTGTGTGTGTGTGTGTGTGTGTGTGTGTGTGTGTGTGTGTGTGTGATTATGAATGCTTGATCTAATCGATTGCTCCAGCTTTGGTAAATTAAAAGCGAACAATACCACAGGAAAAACCAAAACAATTCATTAATCAGTTGTAAAATACCCCAAACTGTTCTAAGATTATC